CAGGAATTTCAAGTCTGTAGTAACATTTTGGAAACTTTGCATCAACAGACTGCGAGAGAGCGGGAAGGATCACGACCTCCCTCGAGCAATAGCCGAAAGTGATTCCAAGTCATTTCTGGACAGGGTTCTTGGCTTGACATGACCTGAAAAGATTTCTTTTTAACTTCTCTTTGAAATTAAACAAATTCAGACAAAATACATTGAAATCTATTATACCATCTTTACCATTAAGTTCCTTTGTAATACTTTTAAGTGCTAATCCTACCAAAACTCTACCATGCGATGATCCTACCAAAAATACATGCCGAATCTATAGTCTAGCTTATCATAAAATGGGGGGAGGAAAAAAGTGTGTTATTCCTCCGTTGAAAATAGCTCATATTTGTCTTGCCATATTAAAGAGCATCTAATACATGCAGTTCTTGCTATCCACCGGAGCCTGACCACAGCCTAGCTCGGTCACTCACCTGCTGATGAAGCTTGTTCACTTCTTCCTGCTGCTTTTTCAGGATCATCTGTTTCTTGGCCCAAACTGCAGCCTTCTTCGCTGCTCTGCACTCCTGTTCATATCTCTGAGTTGAGTCCTACCAATGCCAAATCACCAGCATGAGAGGGATCATGTCAAGGAGACTTGCGCCTCAAAACCCCTGGCCCAGACCTGGCCCCATGCAGGAGCAAGAAAGCGGTTAAGTCAGATCAGCTTGGGATTGACACCCTACAGCTATCGGGATGCAGGAGGCTCTTGCCATAGGATTCACCTTATTCCATGGACAGAGTCATCCCTGTAGCCCAGTCCCTGTCCCCAAGCACTGACTTCTACCATATGTGCTGGAGGCAGCTACAAGAACCATGAAACCAGCCAGGGACTGAACAGAAGCAGAGCCTGGCCTCGGTTCAGAAGCCCTCGGTGCAAAGCGCACTGCCTGCCCGCATGCAGAGGGCTGGTTGTGCTCGAGAAGCAGGAGGTTTTAGCAGCTGTGGAGAAACAGAGTCGAAGTAGAGGTGTAAAGATGACCCAGAGCGGGCACAGTGGGAAAGACATGCTTATTCTGTTTGGGGGCAGAGGACTTCTACATCCAAAATGTTTCTAGCTGCACCAGGAGCCAACTTTTGCAAGCAGTCATATGCCAGTTTTTCATTAAAACCTGTTAGCTAGAAGCACACGAACTGAAACAGGGACACGCAATGCAAGGAACCACCATTACCTGCATTTTGATAATCACAACTCCAATAAACATATTGAAGAACACAAAGAACCCGAGCAAGATGAACACTATTGTGAATGCGTGGCTGTTCACAAACCCATGATTCTCCAGCTTTTGTTGTAAGTCTGTCCAGCCATCAACCTGCAAATGTATTTACCCAGACCAGAGAGTTAGTTCCAAACCACAACATAATTCACAAACTATATGAAATCTTGTTCTTCTTTCTCTTTCTTTTTTTTTTTTTTTTTTTTAAATTGAACACAGTTTCTTCTGTTCCTTAAAGTTCCAGGTTTAAGACAGCTAGTAAAGATCTCATTGCTGGCAGCCTGAGAGATTTGCCCCTCTGCATTTCCAATACCAGGTAGGAAGTTTAAATCTATCAAATCAAATTTTCATAGAGATCTGCAATGCGATCTCACTAGAGAGCAGTTCACGCTCTCCCCAGCTCGGTCACAGGTTAATTAACGGGCTTCTTCAGCAGCACTCCAAAATCTACAGCTTGTCACTTGGCTGACATGGAGTGGAAAATGCTGCTGTACTTACAGTTACTAAACTGAAGAGTGTGAAGAAGGCAGCCTCCATATTGCCCCAGTTTTCAGTGTCTCCAGTTTCAGGATCTCCATACAAACCATGTCCCAGAAACATCAGCAGTAATAGCAAGATGAGGACATACATCACTGTCTTCACCATCTGGCCGAGAGCCTTTGTGAAAATCTGCAGAAGGGAAAACAAGAGAGTGCTTCTTAGGAGAAGGGAGAGGCAGCCCCAGGTAAAGCAAATACTTGCTCAGTGGGGATGAGGGCAGGGAAGCGGGCCGGCGATTTGGTAGGTGACAAGCTGCTGAGACCGGCTCCCTCACGTGCACCTGCAGTGTTGTACTGGGAATCAAGGAGAGGCACAGGGCAACCGCTGCTGTGCATGGGAGTGCTACAAAATCCAGAGGCTCTGGCCATGCGCAAGCCTCTTGGACTGGGAAATGCCCCTTGCAGGCCTCAGCAGTGAGTAAGTGTTGCCCAGAGGCAAGAGCAAGGGCCACTCAGTTCCAGAAGAATTACTCCCGACACACACAGGCTTCTCGCTCCCTTCTCAAACATGGTCTCACCATGACAGGTTACTAATGGAGCAACAGATTCATATTTGTAAAGGATACAGCTCTTCCTAACCTATGCAATCCGCTGAACAAAAACGAGCAGTGCTATTAACCCTCATGCCTCAGGGTCTGGCCACAAACTGGAGGCAGGAAGATATTTCTGCTGCCCTCATCATCTAGCTGCTCCTCTTCCACTGCTGTGCAGGAGGGACCTGGATATGGGGAACTTTTCTCTCATCCCTCCTGTGACTGCTCTCCTAGAGAAAGCTCTGTGCAAAGCTTGGGTTCACCACAAAGGAATAGAGCATGGCCTCTGAGACAGCCTGGTTTCTTATAAAGACCTACATGCGACATCAATTTATACAAAAGACACTCTTGGGAGTCGATGGGAATGCTGATTGGGGAATTGAGCTTAGGTCGGATCATTGGTAATGGCTTTTAGCCAAACGCGAACTTTGCTGTTAACTCCAAGTTACAGAAGACTACATGCAGCCTCTTGCATCCATGTTATATTCCTCCAGAGACCAGCGGCCACATGGGCTGGCTGCCTTCCCCTGGTTACAATAGGCCTGCTAACGCCAGAAGGTTTCTTACACAGTGCACGAGCTCAGGGACTATCCATTTATCATTTCCTCTTTGGACAATAGCTCTGACTGTCAACAGCATCTCAAGTTAAAGCTCTGAAATCTATCCAGTTCATCTGCTCAGATGGTACTTCCTGGTGTAGACATTTGTGCAAAGCTAGCATAAGACATTCCTTCTAATCACCTCTGGTTGCCAAAAAGCTGATCTTGTTATGATGGATTAAGGATTCCCAAAGCGGTTGTCTGAATAGGTCCCTGCTTTTGCAAGGCTTATCTACACTAGAAAACATACCCGCAGCACTGTGTACGGCCAAATGTCCCAGGTCCTTCTTTTGGCCACTAATCATCCCTCAGCCTACATGGACTGAATTTCTTGCATCTGCCTTTCATCCAACTCAAATGTAACAAGACAACAAAGACCTATGCAAAGGTAGTGCCTACTATGCCTTTTTTCCCCTCTCAAGTTGCTAACTCTGGTAGCTTTGCCAAGAATAACCGCAGAGGAAAGAGATAGTCTGGACCTGCGGCTGTGTCACCCGGCCTTGTTCAGAGAGGGGTGGAAACAGTACACGTTGCCAGCTCTGTGCCTGCACCACAGAGGCCTAACAATGATGCCTTAGATATTTTCAAGCAATGATTTTTTTTTTTTTTTACTGAAACCATCCCAAACACTGTGTGTCTCTGCCTACTCTTAAATTGTAGGTATAGTTAGCAGCTGCTTCAGTGCCACCCTTTGTAAGCTGAAGCACTCAGCTTGCTTCAGAGCAGGTCTCACCTCTGGCAGAGCTGGCCTCTAACCTGGACACATGCTCATCAGTCAAAACTCAGGTGAAGTGAGGTTAAAATATCTCTCCTGGACCAAAGGAAGCCCCAGAGCATCCCCAGTTCATAGCTTATATCCATAAGCAGCATCAAGATTTCCTGAGCCTGGTCTCCACTCCAGGACAGGCCAAGGAAATGGCCCAAACTGGACTGCGCAACCCTGCTGAGTGTTTCCCCAGGTGGGGAACATCCCCAGGTAGATGCTCATTCCTCATCAAGAGACCGAGGTTACTAAATGCTCCTCACCCAAGCGCACAGCTGGTGCTTGAACTCTGCTGTGTGAGCCGCGTGATTTGCTTGTCCCCTGCTGCTTTGGGTTTTGCTCAGAGGTAAACCAGGTGATGGCACTCCTGGGGCTTGTGCTGATACAGACTACAGTTTCAAGGACAAATATTAATTCTTGCCTGTCTGTCATACACCTCCCTGTAGAAATTCTCTCGTGCAGACAAAACACCAAAAGTGTCCAAACAGCTGCCACAGAGGACAGCCTTAGTCCTCATCTGCCAAGAGCCAGATGGCAAAGCTCCTATATTGACACCCCAGCTTGAAACAGTGGTGGGTCAGCTGAGGGTGAACAGGCTGACACAGTACCCTAATACTGCTCTTATTTCTCTTTCTTGGGTTGCCTCACACCTACAGGATGCCAATGCTTTTCCATCTGCTGCAGCCCTGGAGCAGACCTGTTCCAAAGACCCTTTCTCCAGCCTTGGTCCACCCTACTCGTCCCCAGCCTTCTGCACTTGGGTCCTGGTAGTGCAGGGCAGTAGGATGCTTAGGCTGAGTGGCACTAGCAGGCTGATGGATTGCTGTGGATTTAAGAAGACAAATTGCGTGCATAGGACAGAGGCACTGGGCACATTGCCCCAAAGCGTGTCAGGATTTGCACCTATAATTGGCAGCTCCCAGTAGATCTCTAGCACCCAGCCAGCAGACGTGGCATAGTTATGCACTCGTTTCACCAGCTCCAGCAACCTTTTTTCAGTTTTACCCTGTTCTGCACTGTTGCACGAGGTGTTGGTGGACACCGGCACTGAACACCGCTCGGCACCAGTAATGCAGCGTTCTTGGCCACAGGCTACGAGGGGCAGGGACACAGCACACAGAACAGTTGCACCAGGCCCAGAAAACAGAGCCACACAACTGAAAACCAACACCAAGAGACAACGTGCTAAAATCCCTGAGTCAGACGACGGTGAAAGCCAAGCCTGCGCTGCAATGCAAACGCTGGCTGCGTGACAGCACGACGGAGAAGGGCACGGAGGACAGCAGGGAAGAG